TATATATTTTTAGTTGTCCAGCTAATTTCTTTCTATTTTTTAGTAGAGATGGGGTCTCGCTCTTGCTCAGGCTGATCTCGAACTCCTAAGCTAAAACCATCCGCCTGCCTCAGCCTCCCATAGTACTAGGATTACAGGCGTGAGCCACCATGCCCTGCCTTTTTTGATTTATTATAGAGACGAGGTCTGTGTTGCCCAGGCTGGTCTTAAACTGGCCTCAAGTGATCCTCCTGCCTTGGGCTCCCAAAGCGTTGGGATTACAGACGTTAGCTGCTGCAGCGACCATTCTGCCACTTCTTAGCTGTTGATTTAGGGCAAGTAACTCTTTGAGCCTATTTTCTCATCTCAATAATGTATAGCTCCCTTGTAAAAGCCCCTCAGGGGAACCAGTACAGCTGATAAGATCTCTGTAAGAGGGACTTAGAGAATCTCTGTAGTTCTGATAATCTCCTGGAAACATTCATTTCATCCTCAGAGAAGGAGCCGCTTTGTGGGCCTAGTAAATTGTCTGGTCTCACTTTATCTCATTATGGCCTTTGCCTGTCTTACATTGGCTTGAGACCTTATTTAGTCCAGGCTAGGTGCTTCTGTGGAGCACCCCGCCTTTGTTTTTAGATATTAGCGCTCTTTAACACAGGCTTTTAGCCTGGTAGAAGGAAAGGCACCCAGGCTGGTGGTCTGGTTGGTGTTTGTTCAGGAGCTATTGGCTTTGGTTGGTTTTAGACACCCTGTCTCCATTGTCTCTGCTCATAGGCACATATACAAGCATGTGTTTGTTCTCCATGTCTGTCTCCTCTTCCCCACCTGGTTCCTGGCCCATGTTTTGCAGTGTTCTTTACCGGTGGATATCTGAGACGCAAGCAACAGCCCTAACCCCCACACCGTTCTCTTCTCATCTGTGTTTCAGGGGGCAATGGCGGCTTCCTGTGTTGTCCTGCACACTGGGCAGAAGATGCCTCTGATTGGTCTGGGTACCTGGAAGAGTGAGCCTGGCCAGGTGAGGGATGGGGGAGGAGAAGGAGGTACTTCTTGAGCCTCTGCTAAGAAAAAGGCAGGATTTAGGAGAAGGGCGCTACATTTTCCTTGGCAGCCTCACCCTGTATTCCACTTGTAGGAGGGATGAGCATGGAGGGCGGTGAGAAGAGATAAGAGAAGAGACCTATAGTAAACCCTTGGCTTCCCTGGTTGACTCAGGAGGGGCTGAGGGACCCAGCAGGGCCAAGAATAAAGGAAGGACACCTTTTTCTAAATGGATCTGCGCTGAGCGCTGTGGCAGACATGGTGCCCCTTTGTGCCCAGCCCTGTGCTATGACGCCCTGATACGGCAATTAGCACCCTGTGCTGTGATCCTGTTTCCTGGAAAAGAGGCTGGGCCTCTCCCTGGTGCTCAGTCCAGAATTAGGCATATAGCAGGTATCAAGTTTTGAAGAATAACTAAGTCAACTGTATAGACCAAAATTCAGCAAACTTTTTTTTAAAGAACCAGATAGTTAATATTTTAGTTTTTGTTGGACAAGTTACTTATATACTTATATAACGACTTAATAAGTAACCATTTAAAAATGTACATGGTTAATTATTATATTCTTAGCTCAATGTCTGTTAAAAAAAAGTTGATAGTTTACTGACCCCTGGTGTAGACCCTCACAGGTAAGGGGATCTTGGGAATGGAGACCTGCTTTCTTGGGTTGACTTAGCTATGAGATTCAGCTGCTACTTGGGGCGGGGCATTTCTGCTGGCTTCTTCCTTGGAAATCTGAGTCAGAGTTAGAAGTTTGGGGATTAAGTTTGAAAGAAGCCCCAGCAGGGAGAACAGCCTCTTCAGTCTGGGATTTAAGGCTGGTATTTGTGGTGTGGTTGGATGGTCTCCGCATTTTTTTCCTTTTGCTTTTCTTCCCATAGCTGTGTGGGACCCTGGAGCCGGGGTCCCAGTGTTCCAGGCAGGCGCTTGACACAGCCTGGGGACGAGGCCAGGAGCTAGGTCAAGGCAGGGGGTGGAGGCCAGAGCCAGCACCAAGGTTGGGCATGGAGCAGCAGGAGTCAGGTCAGGTATAAGGGGAGTATATCTGAGTAGTAAGAACTGCACTCAGATAGGGATCTTGACTGTTACACCAGGCACACACAAGAGCTTTGGGTGCCTTGTGGCTAGGGCTGGATGTCCTTGGTTCTGCTTCTGCTACCATGTTTATTGTCTGGTTTTTAGCAAACTGACCCATCCTTCTACCTGATGCCTATCTTCTCTTTCACTAGGGAGCTCTGGGCTCAGCCTCCAGCTCACTTGTCTGTCTTCCTTAATCTTCCCCCACCCCCCTCACCTCTTTTGCTGGTCTGAGCTCTCAGAGCTCACTCTGTCTACATGGCTCTCTGAGGATCTCTCCCTGTGTAGCTTGGCCCAGCAATTTTTTTCCTGTGTCATGTTTCTCTCACCAGCTCTTCAAGACTGGGAACCTGTCTCTATGATCCACACTTTTGTTTTCTGCCTATTTATCCATCTATCATCTGATTAAAAAAAAATTTGCTAAAGCCTTTTTTATGCTAGATGCTGGGAACATATTGTTAGTTTTTTGCTGGACCTTGCTGAGATGGCTTGGGTAGGAGAAAATCTTGGAGACTGATGGGGTGGGAGCAGGACAAAGGGTTTGGGGCCTCCGAAGAGGCTTCTGGTCTCCTAGACTAGGACCATCTTCCCATCTTTTCACCCCCATTGCATGGATGGCCCTGCGATATTCCTGCCCTCCTAGCAGTGACCTTGTGCGGGAGACAGTTTCTGGCCCAAACCAACAGAGCTAAAACCTCTGCTTCTGTCACCTGGCAGGTAAAAGCCGCTGTGAAGTATGCCCTCAGTGCAGGCTACCGCCACATTGACTGTGCTGCTATCTACGGCAATGAGACTGAAATTGGGGAGGCCCTGAAGGAGGACGTGGGACCGGGCAAGGTGAGGACTGTGGCTGAAGAGAGGGGTATGGTGACAAAACTCAGAAGCTGAAGCTGGGGCTCAGCCTGGCTGGAGGGAATCTGGCATCAGGTTCCATCCAGTTTCTCTGCCAGAGTTGGGGGTGGGTAAGACTGGGTACCCATGGCTCTTCTCGCTACGGGCCCTGCACTAGGCAGTGCCTCGGGAGGAGCTGTTTGTGACATCCAAGCTGTGGAACACCAAGCACCACCCTGAGGATGTGGAGCCTGCCTTCCGGAAGACACTGGCTGACCTCCAGCTGGAGTATC